AGGGAAAGGCTTATCAAAACCCTCCTCACAAATTCCTCTCGAGGGTTTTTCTCTTCCCTTAATCTCCTTCCTTCCGTTACTACCGTTACATTGTTCTCTTCGCCCTTCGATTTCAAGGTAATCTCTTCCCGATTTGCGTTTGATCCACTCACGGATCCTGCATCGATTCTGGGTTCGCCTCATTTTTACTCGATTCGATTCCCACTTGCCCATCCCTTACAGTAATCGAGAAATTGGGCTCGTCTTCTGGGTTCTTGTTCTGCTCCGTAACCCTTCAATTTCACCAGCCGAGGGAGAAGAATCATTAGGCAATTCGAAAATTTCCCAGATCCGTCTTACCTCTTTGTAGAGGTTAGTACCCAAATCTCATTCCTTTTTTTTTGCATTTGCTTGATTTGCGTTTGACACGAGTGTGTTCATCATAGCGAAAACGTCTCTTCTTTTTCGCAGAATGGCGGATTTGATACCATTTTATCTCAATATTGTGGCATTTCTATGTACTGTTGGAGCCATTGGTCTGGCTATATTTCATATCTACAGGCATCTCTTGAATTACACAGAACCAACTTATCAGAGATATATCGTACGCATCGTCTTCATGGTCCCGGTCAGTCTTTTTATCATCTCTAGTCCTCAAACGTGTTGAATTCGCTCTAACTGACATGTTCTTGATGGTTTTCTTCTCGCTGTCAGGTTTATGCCTTCATGTCATTCTTGTCTCTTGTGCTACCCAGAAGCTCGATATATTTTGATTCCATACGAGAAGTGTGAGTATTTTCTATATTTTCTAGTTGTGTTGGTTGCTGTGCTTCCTCTAATAACTAAAACAACTTCTCTCTGACCCTTGAGACTTAAGCTTAGACAATGTGTTACTGGTGTTCTCAATTGTTCTTAGAGTTGGRCCTTAAAGTTATTCATTTCTGTCAATGGCCTTAATACATTTTATGTCTCTATCTATTGACCTTTTTGGTGTGTCTCAGTTATGAAGCATGGGTCATCTACAACTTCCTATCACTGTGTTTGGCATGGGTTGGAGGCCCAGGAGCAGTAGTGCTTAGTTTAAGCGGTCGCTCTCTAAAGCCGTCATGGTCTCTCATGACGTGTTGCTTTCCGCCACTATCATTGGACGGGTATGTTTGTGGAACGAAACCAAATTCTTTGTACTTCAATAAAGGCGGTGTTTCCATAGTCTTTCCCTGTGCAAGTTATACAACATATGCGGATTTTCTAGATTATACAAATTTTCTTGATTCTGTATAATCACGATCATAATCTTTAGGACTGCTTGTCATTAGAGACAATCATTTGATTGCATACACTTTAAGTCTCATCATAGATAGCGAATGTTCTGTTTTGATGTCTCGGTCTTATGATGATTTCTTTTTTTATCTCGCGTTTTTTATTTTATTTTATTTTCATATAGAAAACCCTCTTAGCTGACATCTATTTACACATGTGCCATGGTCTTTTTGATGCAGGCGTTTTATTCGACGATGCAAGCAAGGTTGTCTTCAGTTTGTAATTCTAAAGCCTATCCTAGTTGCTGTCACACTTGTGCTTTATGCGAAAGGAAAATACAAGGATGGGAATTTTAACCCTGATCAAGCATATCTCTATCTTACCATCATCTATACCATATCCTACACAGTGGCATTGTACGCACTTGTGCTGTTTTATATGGCATGCAGAGATCTGCTTCAGCCATTCAATCCAGTCCCAAAGTTTGTGATCATAAAGTCCGTTGTCTTTCTAACCTATTGGCAGGTAAGATTTGCGTTCTAACTACTAACTCAGAGTATATGACATCAACTCTTGCTTTTGCTATCTTCCACATATAGTTGCTTTTTGTGTAATTGTGTTCCATGATTCTCTTCTTTGTACAGGGTGTTCTAGTTTTTCTTGCTGCAAAATCTGGATTCATAAAGAGCGCAGAGCAAGCGGCCCATTTTCAAAATTTTATAATATGTGTTGAGATGCTTATTGCTGCAGCATGCCATTTCTATGCTTTTCCATACAAGGAGTACGCTGGTGCCAATGTTGGTGGATCTGGCAGTTTTTCAGGGAGCCTATCACATGCTGTAAAACTAAATGACTTCTACCATGACACTGTTCACCAGGTAACTGATTCGTATTGTTAACCATCTCTATTTCAATTAATAGCTTTGTTAATTCGTTTTCCTGATGATTGACTGGTTATTACAGTTTGCTCCTACTTATCACGATTATGTACTTTATAACCATACTGATGGTAGTGACGAGGGGACAAAGAAGTACCGTTCGAGAACTTTTGTACCAACTGGCCAAGAGATGGATGCAATGAGAAAGAACAAATCCGTGTATGCGAACAAGATAGATGGTGTTTCGGTCGCCAGTAGTCTATCTTCAGAGACGAGCTCACCAAAAAGCTCCAGTGTAACTTCTGATCCTGCACGCTCTGATGCTGTGAAATCTTCCTTGCTTGTGGATGCTTCGGAATCTCTTGATACAATGTATGATATGTCGCTCATTGACATCGATTTATCTAGTTTCCCCAGCACTGTCCCCTCAGCAAATGAAAGCGGCCCCTAGATAGGAAGAAAACAAAAAAAGATGTAGAAAGCACCATTAACAGGTACAAAACGTGCTCCTAGTAGTTGGATTCAGATGAATCTTGTCTTGTCAGGTGTGTTGTTTAGTTGGGAGATGTTATTAGGAGCTTAAGCATAAATGAAGAAGCTTCCAACCCATTTGCCTTTATATGATGAGTCTTCTACTAGCATTTTCTTTTGCAGCCTGTTTCTTGTTCTTGCCTGCTTTGTAGATACAATAGGATATTGTTTGTTACTTCTCAAGCTTGTGAGTTGTTTCGAGGTGAAGTAGGAACATTCGTTTTATACATGTAACCAGATGGGTCGCATAGTCTTTTAATGTTTTACAGATTGTGTATATATTTTGGCCTCAGTCTCTAAACGTTAGTAAGAAACATGGCCTTAAAACTCTTAAAAGCTATATGGCATGTAAGGAGGCTAAGGAACAGATGCTGACTGCTTACCATCATTTGGGTTATAGTATTGGTTTTACTAGGGAAATAAGAGGAAGTAACATTTTCCTATAGGATTTAACCTCTGTAGACACTATTCTTATGCTTTTGGTGTGACATTGAAGAAAAGGGTTTGTGTTTATGAAGAAGATAGGTTAGGTTTTGGCCAAAGCAAGTTGTGAGTTTGGAGGAGTTGGATTATCCCTCTTAAATGCTAATGCCAATGTCACATCTTCACACACCTAACCATAGTTGATTACTTTGGTCCACCAAATATAAAATATTAATTTATGTCTCTCGTATTTTATTTTTATGTGATCACAAAGGGATAAAAAAAAGTATAAGATCAATTATTGTAATTAGTATATCAAAACAAATACGCCATAGTAAAGATTATAATTTTTGTTTGTTTCCTTGTCAACGATTGAAGTGATCTCTTTGTTTTAATCAAAGAAAATGGGTGAATAAATATATTTCCGATTACAAAAAGGGGACATTCTCTTAAATTCTTTTAACTATTAATGTCTTGGATGTTACGTATAACGTATTCAATGTATTTTTCGGAAAGAAAGAGCCTCATAAACAGAGTAAATATGAATTGAAAAATACAGTTAAACCATTCATTCTCGAAACACATGGTTTCAATTTTAAAACTTTGTTAGTGGAATGTTGTTTTTTGCTTCTTGGGAAGAGGTTAAAAATTAAAGTCACACCAGAATTTTGGATGATTACGAGGACAAAGACCACTTTCACATGAGAGAGAAGAAACACACGTAGACTTGCACCAATAACAACACAGAGCGTAAATATAAAGCAAAAAAAACTCCTTTATAATTAAGTACTTCAAAACAGAGAGAAGAGAGAAGAAAGAGACCAACGCGCACGCTTCAAACCCTATTCTTCTCTACTACGCGACTACGGCGGTGGCGTTTGCGGCGGCGGCGACCGAGTGTTCCTTTTCAATACCCTCAAAACGAAACTCTTTTTCAGATTTCGATGAGTGAGAAGCTCGTGTTTAGAAGATGCAGAA